CGGAAAGAAGATTGGGCAATCTGCTTCTATAGAGATACTGCCTCGGAAACCCAAGCAAGGGTTACTACGGGTCAAATTGACTTGACTGTAGTGAGTTTGGTTTTTGTTTGTGCCATCTGTCTTAGTTGGGCTTTCTAGAGAGGCAAAATCAGTGATACATGGAGAAAGAGAGAGAAAGATTTACTGCAAAGAAGTGGCTCATACAGTTGTGTGAGGCTGGCAAGTCCCAAATCTGTAGATCAGGCAGCCAGCTGAAGACCTCTGCTGGCTTATGGGATTTTGTGGACTGGCTAATGCCAAATCTGCAGGTCAGGTGGTAAGCCAGAGATTTCTTCAGGCTATGTCCCAAGAACTGGAAGTCAGGTGATGGAAAGTCTGCAGAGTCAAGAGAGAGAAATTGAAAGAGAGATAAAGAGCTCTACCAGAATATCCATTTATATTCTGGAGGCAGACCACACCCCCAAAGAAACACTCCTTTCAACTGATTGGTTGATTATATCAGATCATATCATGGAAGGTCATTCTGTTACATTACATTACATTACATTACAACAACTTGTCCAGTACCAGGCCAAACCACTGACAGTGGGTCAGGGGCAAGCATGAGGGAGTGAAGTGCCTAAAATTCAAAACATAAAGAATTGACTCTGATTCCAAGATGGTGAAATAGGCAGAAAGACTGCACAGACCCTCTTCAACAAAGAAAAGGAGAACCAATTAACACACACACAGAAGATAATCCTGGACCCCTGAGCCTTGAAGGGAAGGATATAGAAGTGGACGAAACCCCAACTAGCAGAAGAATTTGCATGAAAATACCAAATAAAGGAGACATACAGAGCTGCGGTCTGGCAGCGATCCTGAGGGCACAGACAGCTTGGAGATTCCCAAGTGGTGGTAGGACCTAAGAATTAACCTAAAGATCAGTGCTGCTAGCCAGGGACTGCACGGAGGACTGTTCTGGTGACTGTGGAATAAAAGGGGAAGCAGCAGTGAAGAGGAAGTCAGGCTGAGCTGTGGACTTTTGCCTGTCCAGAGGGTGCTGCCATTTTGGAAGTTTACAAGCGGCTTGACCATTTTGGATATTTAAAGAGACAGCACTCTCCC